TTTTTTTTGGTTGTCATCTTAATATTATATACTTATTAATACAATTCACAAAAGCTAGCATCTTCGACTTGTAAGTTTAAAGAATTATAATGAAATAACATCTAATAAGGACAGTTTGAAATATTTTTGAATCCTAATGGTGCATACTCATAAATTCTTTTGGAAAAATCCACGTAAATTTAAATGTTGATTTAATAGCATTCATTTATTTATTTGCCCTCGTAAACAGTTTTGTTAAAATACCGAAATCGGTAAATTCTTATCGTGAACGAATAAGTCGGGTACACCTTTTTACATTCAGGCGTGCTTAAGTTGCACTTTTTTCTTCTTATTAAGAAAAATGATTTTAATTTTAGCATCTATCTAAAGATTAGATTATTTACACACACACAAAAATAGGGCTTACTGTTGATTTTGAAACTCTATGAATTCACATTTATATTTAACCAAACAGATAGGTCGAGATCCATACCTTTATAAGTTTCAAAACAGAGAAGGTGTTTTTGAAAACAAATAATCACGTACTGCTATATCTTTTAAGGCAAATGCAAGTCTTACTTGTATTAATTATATAATTTTAATTGGCACAATATCACATTAAAATTTACTGAGAAATATTATACATAGTAATCATGAAAATGTACTACTGTAACAATGAAAATTCGGACGAATACACTCCTTTTCACTACCCCTCCATCTACTCATTTAAGTTTAGGCCAAACAGCCTTAGCAACAGTCTTTTATTATTTTTTCCCTGTAAATAAAAAGATTGATTGAATTTACTTAAACTAAAAAAAAAATTACAATCTTATTTTCAATAAGAAACAAGAAAATTAATTCGAAACACAATTCATGATTTATTTCTCCTAATTTTCAATGAAAACAAAGTATTTTCTTCACTTTTCTTTTAACAAATTATTCATTTCAGAAATTTAAAAAATAAACAATAAACAATGTTGAAGACCGTACCTTGACCTATAATGGTTTACTTTTATAAATTGTGACTTGGATGGAGAGTTGTCTCATTGGCACTCATACCACATCTTCCTATATCTATTTAACCCAGCACATTCTTTATGTGTCTGTCCGAAGCCACGAGCCTGTAGTTTGGTGGTTGTCGTTGGTTCATCTGTATCATATTTGTTATTTTTCGTTATTTGTTATGAGTTAGGCCGTTAGTTTTCTTGTTGAATCCTTCCACAATTTTCATGTCGGGGCTTTTTATAGCCGACTGTAAGGTACGATTTTTCGTTGTTGAAGGCCAAACGATAGCATATAATTGCTTACATACACTTTACTTGACCCTGGTGGATAGTTATCTTATTTGCAATCATACAACATCTCCACTGTTTGTATTTAAAAAAAAAAAAAAAAACAGCGCCAACAAAAGATGAATGGTCGTTTTTTTTTATTGAACTTACAAAATTTCACCCTGACAACAAATAAGACAACAGTCGTTAGTATTATAACGCTATATGAATGTATTTAGGATAATATGGTTGAAAAACCTTTTTGTCTTTAAAAACAAAAAGTCAAATAGAGGTACGCAACGACGACTTCTGAACGAAATTAACGGCATATATTTTATAATATTTGATGAGTAGTTTATTTTGTATATTTGTAAGCCGGTAAAGCTTTGATACAGCCAAAATTTCGTCACTTGATATTATCTAAACAGTGATTAATTTCATCTTTAAATTACAATATATTGCAAGACGCTGTACAGACAAAAGTTGTTATTTTGCAATTCGCCGTACAACGTCCTGCAATTCGCCGTACAATAAACACACAATGTTTTGGTCCATATTCTTTAAAAACATCTTTATGACAACAGATTTCAGTCAATATGATGTCACACTATCATAATCTAAAAACGTGTCTGGAAAAATAATGAAAAACAGTTGAATATCTTGCCAATGGGGCGACAGAGGACAATCTACATCGAAATTTTCAGGTACTAAGTGGCAATCTTTGGAGTATAACACAAAATCTTGTCTTAATTCTGTACTTATCGGCCTAATATTTTAAAGAATTATATATTAGAAAATCATTTTTTAAGCGGTACCCTCGTCAAATCAGTAGAAATGCTTTAAATTGAATGAATTCTTACCTTGTTTACTTTTTTTTCCATTTCTCTCCGCTTCGTTAGTACCCAATTTCCGGTGGCGATGATACACAGTGTACATGGAAACATTTTATGGTTGCAGTTACTCTTGCAATCAGCAACTTCGTAGGCACTTCATTTAATTTCAGTATTTTGGGACATAGTTAGCTTTTTTATAATTATAATTTTTATGAACACTTATATAAATTATATTTATAAAACAAGGTAATTAGGTCACAAGGTGTACGATAAAGTGCATATAAACTCGCTGAATGCACGAGTGACTCTATTCATAAAAAGTGTCCGTGTAACACCCGTTATTGTACTGTTTTTTATAGCTCTGCTGGGGGCAAAGTCGTACAAGGTTTTTTGCTTTTAATGGAAGGGTGTTAATTTAGACCATCAAACTTTGAAGATACCAAGTCTCGTGTAATCAGAAAAATGACCAGACACCATTATAAAAGAGCAATGGTCCTTGATCCAGAATTAAAAAAAATATAGACTGAGCAAAAGCAATTCCTCTAAAAAGTGGGCCTGAACTTAGGCCTCCGCAAGAAAATCTGTTCCTGCATGCCCGTCATTATTAGAATAGCATAACCTCTCTCTTCCAAATTTTGTAGCATATTAAAATTTGTTTAAGAAATTACTAAATAAATATAATAAAAACTTATTTTTTAACGTGTAAGTGAAAAGGGTGCTGTTGGGTACACTTCAATGAGACAGCAACCAAACAACACGGAACTTATTCATGTCAACATACGGTCGGTGTTTTCCGATGGAAACCAGCGTCATTGCATCTATAAATGTTGATCCCCATCGGAATACCAGTCACTCGGTGGTATAGTTTATCTCCAAAACGAACAAAAATAGGATCAACAAAAACTAATGGCTTCAATTATTTCTTGATCAGTTAGTGCATTTTTGTAACTAGTTTCATAACTGAAGTACTAACGACCACAAGAGAATTCATGAGTTGCTCAAATTATATCGAAATATTATGTGAGTGGGTGACACGTGGTGCCCGCTTCCCATTTATTTGTTTCTTCTTTTCCCCAGAACCCAATTTCTACCCCTATATCCCACATCCTCACTTTTTTATTCTCTATTTCCCACATCCACACTTTTTGTTTACCAATCTACTTAAAATATAGATCTCTGATTTCGTTATCCTCATATGAGCAATATGATTAAACTATAAATTTCTGATTTCGTTATCTTCATATATACGAGCACGCGTGTAAAGATAGATCTGAATTTTAATCAGATTGTTTGTTTACCTTATCCCACATCAAAAAAGCGTATAATTTCTCTTGTGTAGAGTGTAGAATACAATGCATAGAAATCATAACTCTAAGCGGAGATAAACTGGCCTACTAAGCAACTAACATAAAAAATCTCGCAACCACAAAGAACTTTTTTTAAAAGCCTGCTAATATGCTAATATGAATAATGCGTGACACAACATATGGAGGAAAAATATTAGATGGGTATCATCAGAGGCGGATTTAGGGGGCAGGATGCCAGAGCCCCCATTATGGAGCTACATTCGTGGTAAATGCAGACTTTTTACCTGTTCCAACCCAAACGTTGTCTAGTTTTGGGGCCCTCGCCCCTTTTCAAAATCCTGGATCCGCATGTGATCATACATGTATATAATTCAAAGTTTTATTTAAAGTCGATATTCAATAAACTAAATAAAACACAAGTTCTAGTGAGCTTTTCAAATCGACTGCATAACAAAATATATACACACATACATAAGTCATGAAAATAACACAATTTCAAACATACAGTGCATAGTAAGATACCATAGATGACATATAAAAGTTAAAAGCATAGTATGCAAAATAAAGTATATCTTAAAACATAGCCCAAAATAAATTGATAAGCACAGCAGACAATAGCAACTAAAAAAGCTAAAAAAAAAACAACAAATAGTCCCACGAAAAATAAAAATTAAAAAAAGCACAGGCATAAAAACACTATATGCATGCACTGCACTAGCATGAGCTGTTATTTGGATCCAATGATTGTACCAATTTTTTGAATTGGTCAAAAGATGTTTTCATTCGACAATGGTTAGGCAGCTCATTCCAGATTTGTGCAGCATAATAGCGAAACGATCTTAAACCATACCTGGTAGTTCTGACTCTCGGGAGAACTGCTGTTTTCTGTGATCTTAAATCATACTTGTGAATTTTTATATTTATTAAATCATGCTAAAAGATAGCTTGGACTTTTTTTGTGAATTATTTTTAAAAGTTTCTGTTGCAATAGTTTTTATTCTTCTTATTTTTAAAGAAGGTAATTTTGACTTTTCTAGAAGATTTTCGTATGAACTATCATAATCTTCATAGATGAATCTAAGAGCTCTTTCTCAGTGAATTTTTTCCATTTTAAAAGAATTTGTTTCGCTACAGTAGTACCAAATTACAGATAGTTAAAATTCGAAAGAATGAATGAATAGTATGCTGTTAACCTACCTAGCCTGTTTAAATATTAACCCATTCGTTTTAGAATATTTAATTGTCTTGATGCCTTTTTACATATTTCAAGTATATGATTGTTAAAGTTTAAGTCCGAATCTATATAGTTATTCCAATTAAGAAGTTTAACATTTTCTTCACAAGAAATTTTGTTTTCATTTAAATTGAATGTTAAATATAAACTACTGTAATAAGTGAAAATGAGTTAAATAAAGAAAAAATAGAAAAAAGGGGGGTTTATTCTCAAGTACATGTAAGCAGTACAGGATGACACAATTTCAATACAGTAAAGAAAATAAAAAAAAATATTCTTATATTGTTTCTAACTGAAAGTTCATTGATATTTATCATCGATAAGAACGGACACAAAAATTTAATAGCGGATTTATTAACATTGTCAATGTATACCCGGATTTGAGACGTTTCCGCAATTGTTTTCATTTTAGATAATCTGACAACAGAAGCTGCTTAGGGTTAGCTAGGAAGAACATCATGGCACTTGCACGAGGTAAAGCAAACAAGTTCATCTATATATATATATATATATATATTTGAACAAGAAACTGTTTAAAATATAACACATGGGCATCCCTATACTACTCAGTTACCTACAAGAAAATGAATAAGTTTTCTTATTGGACTTTGCACTTTATGAACATAGCTGATCATGATGTTGCAATATCTTTTATAATTTTTATGAAAAAAATATATTTTACAAGAAAAGAATAGATAGCATGTTACATAAGCCTATATTATGTCATCAAGGGGGTTGATACTTGTATTAGTCAACTGTTTAGAACTTTCAAGGGATATAGAATTGGATCTTGCCAGTTGTTCAACTGTTCAAAATTATATGACCTACCGAATTAGACTTATCACCTGGATTTTACATACATTAGCAACAGGACTGGTGCCACATTTGGAGCAGGATCTGCTCACCCTTCAGAACAACATGAGATCAACCCCACAGGGATTTTAAGCACAAGAGGACCTAATGCTCCTTTTATATTGTCATACTATGTGTTTTTAATCTACTTTTGTATTGTTTGAATGAGTATAGATGTGCTTTAATACCCTATTAGCTCATTTAAATGCCTGTTTTGAGGTTTTCATTTTAATATATAATAAGCATTAAAGAATTTCAAAATTAAGGTCAACCAGGATAGTTGGCAGGTGACTGCCACTCCCCTCCCTGTTCCTTGTTTTTGTGAGGTTCATGTTACTCTGAATTTCTGGTTTTCTGTGATGTTTTGTATACGTTGTTTATCTTTAGGTTGTTTTTCCTTTTTGCCTTTCAAAGAACAATAAAGATTTTTGAAGTTTTTTAATACCAGATATTCATCTACTGAGTAAAGTTTTGGTTATCTCCCCTTAAAGCAGGTGTGTCAATTGATCAAATGTATTTGATTCAAGTGTTTTACAAAAAGAAATTTTAAAAATAATGCTATATACAAAGATAAATTATAACAACTGTATCCATCTGTTACTATTACAAATAATAGCTTGATAATTTTTGTTGATTCATTTAATACAGAAAACCATAAAATTGTTTATTGAGATATAAGCTAAGAAGGCAGATTTACAATGTCTCTGTGATATTAACCTATATATAAATGATTTTTCAACTAACTCTTCACTTCAATGTGGAGTTTGATAGGTACCTCTATGTATTGCCCTTCCCTTAGCCTTTTGTATCCTGCTCAATAGCTCCATCTTTCTCATATCACAGATTTGAGATGTGAGAAGACATAATTATTAGTTCAGAAAAAAAAAGTGATAACTCATAGGCTTTGTGTTATCATTTTTTTCTCAACTAATAAGTTTGAATGTCCCTTTGGTATCATTTGCCTCTCTTTTCATACGTCCATTTACGGGACGTATTATGGTATACCGTTGTCCATCGTCAACATGTCGGACATTAACTCAAAAATGCTTTAACCAATTTGCATAAAACTTTGGTGAATTGTTTATATCTATTGACGTGAGCTCCTTTTTGTTTTTTATAAAATTTAGATTTTACTTTTCCGAGTTATGGGGTTTTATTCATTAAAAAAAGGGGGATTTTCCAGTTTTCGGACAATAAGTCAAGAACGCTTTCACCAACTTGCAAGAAATTGTGGTGAATTGTTCATATCTATTGACATGAGCTCCATTTGGATTTTTATAAATTTTAGATTTTACATTTCCGAGTTACAGGGTTTTATTCATAGAAAAAGGGGGGATTTTCCAGTTTTTGGACAAAAACTCAAAAATGCTTTCAGCAATTCTTATGAAACTTTGGTGAATTGTTTGTATGTATTGATGTAAACTCCCTTTAGAATTTTATGAATTTTACATTTTACATTTCTGAGTTATGGGGTTTTATTCATTAAAAAAAGGGGTGATTTTCAAGTTTTCAGACAAAAACTCAAAAATGCTGTCACCAATTCTCATGAAACTTTGGTGAATTGTTTATATCTATTGATGTAAGCTCCCTTTTTATTTTCATAAATTTCTAATATGACATTGAGAATTAATTGAACTTTATTTGTTTATAGTCTGACAACAGATTTACTAAGTATTGCACAACAGCAAGAAATCTTTAATTGAATATAAATTCAATTCATATAACCAATTTCCAGTTCTTTGACTACATTTATTCAGAAACCTATAACATGTCAAATATTTAATTACAATCCAAATTTAGACCTGAATCAAGCTTGAATATTGTGTCCATTTTTGCCCCAACTGTTCAGGGTTGGACCTCTGCGGGCGTATCTAGCTGCGCTCAGCGAAGCAGTTTATTGAAACTATTGTACAGCTTCATATTATTTAAACAAATGGTCTTGTCTATAGAAGTGACTTAGTAAATAGTATAAACTTGTCTGTTTTAAGAGTTCAATAAGGCAACATAATAAACTGTAAGGTGTCATTGTGATTAATCTAAGGGGACAATTTGGGGTATCATATACTATGGCCAAAGACACTACTGCTTGTTGCAGGGTTGGCAAAGTATAATCCTGCGGGGACTATTCATATTTGTCTGTGAAATGTTTGCAAAATGATTTGTGTATCTCAGAAAGTTGCATAACCAATTCTTTCTCTAATTTATATGTACACTTAATGATAAGAGTCTCAAACAACTTTTTAATTAATATATTAACCATGTTAATGTCTACTTATATATCTTTTATGTTTTGATTGCATGTTACCCAATATAATCCAGAATTATCCTGTAAAACCCAATAAAACCTGTGTTCTCCCAGTATTTCCCAGTTGGCTCTGCAATACTCATAAAACTCAAGTTAATGGCAACCCTGGCATGTCCATTAGACGATGGTTTTAATAACTGTTCTTAGAGTATTACAACTATTATTCAAAGACTCAAGGTGTTCACTACACAAATTGTGCATTCACATTTATTGCTGAAATATTTTATTAAGGAGAGAGTCCATAGACAAATGGTGAGAAAATTTTAAAACTATTTGAGCATTTATTATTAACTTTACAATAAATTTCAGCGGTAAAAGATGTGTTCATTGTTTCTGCCAAGAGAACAGCCTTTGGTACATATGGCGGGAAGTTGACAGGCAAGACAGCCACAGATCTGATGGAAGTAGCTGCTAAAAGTGCATTAACAGAAGGAAATGTTAATCCTGCAGCTGTTAACGGTGTTGTTATAGGAAATGTGTTACATGTATGTTAACTTTTATGAACATGTCACTTGCTTTGTTCAAGGGTGAATGTGGTATAGATATATTGTGACTTTGGTCTATTTCCTACTGGTAGAAAAACCCTTGCTAAAGTGGGCATTTCTTTCGTTTTGCTTGTTGTATAAATTTGCAGCCAAGTCCAATCAGAATTACATCAGATTCCTTGTATACAGAGAGTGTTATGTTCATATGACCATTGCAACAACTCTTTGAGAGTCCAAAGGTTGCATGTTGCAAGGCAAAATTTCTACTCCTAAACAGTATACAACAAACCATTGTTTTCCAGTAGTAGTCCAAAATTTCAACCCTTCCTCCCTGTTGTCCATATTTCATAATTTACATATTGTATTAATTGTAAATAGTTTCTTGCTCTAAATATACATGAAATAAATGCAACTGAACCATAAGAGAGCAACAATCAATTAATAGTTATAAGTCATGGTAGATTACATTAACACCCTACTTTTTGGCTGATAGTAAATTTTACATGGCCAATATTTTAGTTTGATTTTGTCACCACCACCCATCCACTGAGAAGTTTTAATATAAATTGCCAGGTATACTGTTCCCATAGCTGGTGCATGTTTACACATGATCTCATATGAACTACAGACAGGGTATGGATAGAGACACTCATAGATAAATATTTTATATTTTAAATCCTTAAAAGTACAGTTTATATAAAAATAAGAAGATATGGTATGATTGTGAATGAGACAACTCTCCATAAGAGACCAAATGACACAGAAATTAACAACTATAGGTCACCGTATGAATCTATAATTTTACCTTTTTTCCAGTCTGCAGCAGATACAATTTACATTGCCCGTCATGTTGGATTGAGATGTGGTGTGCCTGTTGGTGTACCTGCTTTAACAGTCAACAGATTATGTGGATCAGGTTTCCAAGCAATAGTCAATGGAGCTCAGGTAAATATTTCAGTTTTCAAAAATATTTTACTATAGAAATACCACTTTGTTTACCACTATCCTGCAACCTAGAATTTCAGAAAAGTTCAGGATAAACACATTTCCCATTAAAAGATTTTCATTTGAGGAAATATCCATGGATATAAGAACATCTATGACACAATTTGCCTCTAGAATTTTAAAGCACTGACATTTCTTCTTTATTTCTCATCTGTGATACTAACATGGTAAAATATGTAATGAATGTTATGATATCATTTGTAATTTGTTCTATGTCTGCTTACTGAAGTGGGGTTATAAAGTAATTTTTGTGGTTACTGGTATTTATTTTGTCTGTCCAATCAACTTCTTATTAACCAGTTGCTGGATTTCAATAAAACTGTAGCATCCTATGGCATAGTGCACCTCCAATTATGTTTTGTTTCCAGCTGATTTTTGGGGTTTTCATAGTAAAACATGAGCTTTGCCCTATATGTACAAATGGGGGTGAGGATATGAATAAGAGAACTGTTCACAGTTTGATTTAGTTCAATTTTTTATTTGAAGATATTTTTTTTTTTCTCACTTTTTATAAAAAAAATTTGCGGTCGTATATTGGTATGACATTGGCGTCATCATCGTCCGGCGGCGTCGTCGTCTGAAGACACATTGGTTTTCGCACAATAACTTTAGTTTAAGTGAATGGATCTCTATGAAATTTTACCATAAGGTTCAATACCACAAAAGGAAGGTTGGGATTGATTTTGGGGGTTATGGTACCAACAGTTAAGGAATTACGGGCCAAAAAGGGGCCAAAAATAAGCATTTTTGTAACTTCCAGACAATAACTTGTGTGTTAGTGTATGGATCTCTCTGACATTGTACCACAAGGTTCCATATCACAAAGGGAATGCTGGGATTGATTTTGGGGGTAATTGCCTCAAAGTTTTAGGAATTAGGGGCCAAAAAAGGGGCAAAAACCAAGCATTTTTATACGACCGCAAAAAAAATTTGTGGTCGTATATTGGTATGACGTTGGCGTTGTCGTCGTTGTCGTCGTCGTCTTCCAAGGACACATTGGTTTTCGCACTCTAACTTTAGTTTAAGTAAATGGATCTCAAAGAGAATGCTGGGATTGATTTTGGGGGTAATTGTCTCAAAATTTAAGGAATTAGGGGCCCAAAAAGGGGTAAAAAACAAGCATTTTTCTAGTTTCATGACAATAACTTGTGTTCAAGTGTATGGATCTCTCTGAAATTGTACTGCAAGGTACCATGACACAAAGGAAGGGCTGGGATTGATTTTGGGGGTGATTGCCTCAAAATTTTAGGAATTAGGGGCCAAAAAGGGGCAAAAAACAAGCATTTTTCTATTTCTGGACAATAACTTGTGTGTAAGTGTATGGATCTTTATAAAATTGTACTACAAGGTTCCATATCACAAAGGGAAAGCTGGGTTTGAGTTTGGGGGTAATTGCCCTAAACGTTTAGGAGTTTGGGGCCCATAAAGGGGCAAAAAAACAAGCATTTTTCTAGTTTCCAGACAATAACTTGTGTTCAAGTGTATGGATCTCTGAAATTGTACTGCAAGGTACCATACCACAAAGGGAAGGCTGGGATTGAGTTAAGGGGTGATGAATCATAAGGGGGTTCAAAATATTTGGGAGAAGGATTTTTTTTCCCTTTTTTTCCTTTTTTTTTCTTTAAAATTTTCCATTTTAAATTGGTTATTTCTGATTTATATATAAAAGCAAATAATAATGATATGGTTTGAATAGGTAAATAAAAAAATTGTAAGTTCTTAGACCACATTCATTCTGTGTCACAAACCTATGCTGTGTCAAATATTTAATCACAATCCAAATTCAGTGCTGTATCAAGCTTGAATATTGTGTCCATACTTGCCCCAACTGTTCAGGGTTCGACCTCTGCGGTCGTATCAAGCTGCGCCCAGTAGAGCATTTTATTCTAGTTTCATGACAAAAACTTGTGTGTAAGTGTATGGATCTTTCTAAAATTGTACTACAAGGTTCCATATCACAAAGGGAAAGCTGGAATTGAGTTTGGGGGTAATTGCCTCATAATTTTAGGAATAAGGGGCCAAAAAGGGGCTAAAAACAAGCATTTTTCTAGTTTCCAGACAATAACTTGTGTTCAACTGTATGGATATCTCTGAAATTGTACAGCAAGGTACTATACCACAAAGGGAAGGCTGGGATGGATTTGGGGGGTTATTGCCTCATAATTTTAGGAATTAGGGGCAAAAAAGGGAAAAAAACAAGCATTTTTACTAGTTTCAGGACAATAACTTGTGTGTAAGTGTATGGATCTTTATGAAATTGTACTACAAGGTTCCATATCACAAAGGGAAAGATGGGTTTGAGTTTGGGGGTTATTGCCCTAAACGTTTATGAATTTGGGGCCAAAAAGGGGCAAAAAAACAAGTATTTTTCTAGTTTCCAGACAATAACTTGTGTTCAAGTGTATGGATCTCTCTGAAATTGTACTGCAAGGTACCATACCACAAAGGGAAGGCTGGGATTGAGTTTGGGGGTGATGAATCATAAGGGGGTTCAAAAAGTTTTTGGGGGGTTTCTATTTTAAGACTTTTATGATGTATTTAAATTTGTAATTATGGTTGCAAACTCCATTGGAAATTTGAATTGAGATTATGACCATATCTTGAGGGAAAGAATTTTTTTTTTGGAAAAGGGGGAAGGGGGTTAAAAGAAATTGTGGGGGCAATTTTTTTTTTCATTTCAGATTTCAGAAATTAAAAAGAAAATTTCTTCAAATATTATTTCTTTTTGCAATAAAAGGGGGGGAGGGGTAAAAAAAAATTTGTTTTTGGGGGGTGGGGTGGTGGGGGGGGGGGTCAATTTCACAACAGCATAGTGTATTGCACAAAAGCAAAAAATTGAATATAAATTCAAATCATATAACCAATTCTAAGTTCTTTGACTACAGTTATTCTGTGTCAGAAACCTATTATGTGTCAAATATTTAATTACAATCCAAATTCAGACCTGTATCAAGCGCGAATATTGTGTCCATTTTTGCCCCAACTGTTCAGGGTTGGACCTCTGCAGTCGTATCCAGCTGCGCTCAGCGAAGCATTTTATTCAGTTATTTGTTCATAATTTACTGTGCATCAGTTATCTTTAAACAGCAACAGATTCCACTCACCTTGATGTAAGGGTAAATCTAGGGCTTGTTATAGAGGACAGTAACAACTGACTTATCATCAAAAACATTGCATTCCTATAATAAAATTGTTTTCCTTGAGATTTCCTTTTTTTATTAAATGCTTAATTTAATGTGTATTATTGTCCTGTTACTTTTTTGAGTTAATTTACGAATTTTATGTTTCCCTCTATACCTTATGCAATGTTTCAACTATTGTAGGAAATCATGCTAGGAGATTGTAACGTTGTATTAGTTGGTGGATCAGATAACATGAGTCAGTCTCCATTCGCTGTCAGGAATATCAGATTTGGTACAAAGCTTGGTCAAGACCTTAAGGTAAACAAACATAATTCAAATGGAAGTAATCGATCAAAGGTTGAAAAACTTTGACCAGTTGAAATTACGGATACACTGTAAAAATTATGTGAAGTGGACAATCATTTAGTATGAAATCATATGATACAACTATCCACCACATACCAACATATGAGGATATATACAACTATAGGTCATTATTCTGCCTTCAGCAATGAGCAAAACCCATACCATATGTATGCAATAAAAGGCATGACAAAATTGTATACAATTCAAAATAGAAAGCCAATGGTCTTGATTTTTTACCACCTGGCAAAAGTACTTACAATGTATAACAGAGATGAAATCTGGAATATTTTAGAATTTAAAGGATCGCTGTTATCTGGCACCCTTTTCACTGTTCACTCCTACAATAGAATTACATAAATGGGATCCAGAAGCAAATTTTCCATCTACTAAATCAATATGCATTTATTAAACTGGGTTCCTGTTGTGTTATTCTACTTTTGCAGTTTAAGATCCATTGGTTACTAGTCTACAGCTATAATTCTGTTTACCTGATTAACAATGAGGAATAGACTTGAAATGATAGATACTGTAAAAACAGTAATTATTGTGAGATTTTTATTAAAGCTTATAATGTGACGGGGTGAATGTTGCAATATTAAGAACTCACATTAAGATATCCAAAACATATAAAATGTATGAAGATTTTCCTATAATTGCAATCATCTCACATTTCTGTCCTCCAAAAATCACAATAATAAATACAAGCCATTATTTCTGAATTTACAGTACTGTTCTCAATTTCTCATATATTAGTTAGAAGACCTAATGTGGGCAGCTTTAACAGATTCACACACAGGCCTTCCTATGGCTATCACAGCAGAAAACTTGGCAGAACAATACAATATATCTAGAGAGGACTGTGATAAATATGCCCTCCAAACTCAGCAAAGATGGAAACAAGGTACATAGCTCTGTAAGGTCAAAACAGTATACAACCATTAGAGTTGCTTCAAGACTCAGTCAAGGTGGAAACAAGGTACATAACTTTATAAGGTTAGAACAGTTTTATACCACTAGAGAGATATCCCAACTCAGCCAAGGTGTAAACAAGGTACACAACTCTGTAAGGTCAGTATAATATACCATCAGAAACCTTCCAAACTCAGTGAAAATAGAGCCAGATACATGCTTACATAAGATCAGAATGTATAGCATAACTAGAGAAGATTCCAAGCTCAGTCAGGTTGGAATGAGATAATTAACTCTGTATGTTTAGAATAGTATACTACCACTATGATCTTAATAAATTTTGACACAATGTAAAGATTAAAAGACTTTGTTTTAATTTTGCTTATTTTTCATTTTTGCCTTTCCAAAGCTGTTGAACATTAGGGAAAAGTAGGCACTTTTAAAAGATTTCATATATTAAGTTTCTTGCAAATATTATAATTAAGTAATAATATAAATGATGTAACAATTGATGAAAACTTCAAGTCAATTGAAAAAAAACAACATTTTTTTTACTGTTGATGGGGGTTGAGTATAACATGCTTTTATTGTATCTCTGTTTATATCTTATTTCATTTTTTAGGGAAATTGCAGAAAATCAAACATACCATAGTGGTTAATTTTTAATGTTTTATGCATATGTTTTCACATAAATTGATTATGTTGCATACCATAATAGCCAAATTAACTGAAAAAAAAAAAATATTATAAAAATATGCAAATTTGTGTATTTTATACTTCAGCACAAGACAGTGGTGTGTTTAAAGCAGAAATTACACCAATGACTTTAAAGGGCAGGAAAGGTAGGTTGATTTGTTAAGATTGTAAAGAGTTTTTGTATTTGTGTGCAGTACTGGAATCAAGAATAATATAACTTAAACTAAAAAATCAATATTTTGTGAATCCTATCTCTCATAGCAAAAATAAGAGAAACTTTAATGTATAACAACTGTATCCTGTTACATTTTGATGGCATAAGAGTTCAAAAACAAATTTCATTCACTGCATCTCTTACCCATAAAAAGTAAGACTGAAAAACCTGTTTACTTTATGACAGGCTTTGTGAATTGTCACTGACGACAAAAATAAACTGTTCCACATGGTTCACAGTCTACAAAGATAATAAACACTGAAAAAAAATATTCTCTTGCAGCAAAGCAAGTTAAATTAGTCAAAATAATTAAATTATATCCACCAATTTGTTTTAAATAATGACAAATTGAGTAAAATATCCTTTACTATGGTTTCTTTTGCTTCTTGTTTTTGGGTGATGTTAACATTTGTATTTATAACTAGATAGATACTGTTTAATTATTGACCAAGAGTTGTCGGCTGTATTCTTCTTGCATGAGTAAGGGTAGTATTATGAAATTATGCCATGTTGAACCTTTGTAAGGTTGAAAGATACTTATATTCAAGTATTTTAGGACCAGAGGTATTTGAGGTTGATGAACATCCCAGACCTCAGACTACTATGGAAACACTTGGAAAACTTCCTACTGTTTTCAAGAAAAATGGCACCGTCACAGCTGGAAATGCTTCAGTGAGTATATATGAAATACATAGTGTGGTTTCATTATTATTCGTGGGATACCAATTGTCATGGATTTCGTGTGGATAGAACTTCCAGTCAACAAAGTACAAATTTTTTATAGACTTTAATGCAGACATGGCCAAAATTTTTAAAAAAATCAAATATCCATGAAAATACATTTTTTTTGCAAAAATAAAGAATTCACAGTATATACATTCACACAAAAATCTTCTCATATACAAGATACCATAGTTGTTAACTATCAGGTTGAAGTCAGTATAAATAAAGATAACATGGGACAAACACTTAAGAGAACTGCTTTGTTTTATTTTGTATCAGCAGGGAACATGCAATCCTTTGACCTCATTTCATTTGGTCTCAATGACTTATAAATGAATTTCATGGAATTGATTCAATGTTTTTAACAATTGGCCATTAATACAAATTAGCTGTTACATACTGAAGTCAATTGATCTTCACTTTTAATCTCACCTGGCGTCTGTCGTAGTCCATTAAGTTTTATAAAAATCTTTAAAAAATGTGTCCGATGACCCCGCCTGCCAACCAAAATGGCCGACATGGCTAAAAATAGAACATAGGGGTAAAATGCAAGTTTAGACAATTATTTTGAAAACACCTATAAAAAGAGAAATTCTGACTGGAGCAAAAATGTTCAGAATGATGAGCTCTAACTATTGTTCACTTATTTCAAAACTGTCAGATGACTTCTTATAGGAGTTATTGCTCTTAAATGATGATATTTACCGTTTTTATACGACCGCAAAAAAATTTTGTGGTCGTATATTGGTATGACGTTGGCGTCGTCGTCATCGTCCGGCGTCGTTGTCCGGTGTCTGCGTCGTCCAGTGTCGTTGTCCGAAGACACATTGGTGTTCGCACTCTAACTTTAGTTTAAGCGAATGGATCTTTTTGAAATTTGACCATAAGGTTAAATACCACAAAAGGAAGGTTGGGATTGATTTTGGGGGTTATGGTACCAACAGTTAAGGAATTAGGGGCCAAAAAGGGGCCAAAAATAAGCATTTTCTAGTTTCCAGACAATAACTGTGGAACGGTGTATGGATCTCTCTGAAATTATACTACAAGTTTCCATACCACAAAGGGATGGTTAGAATTTGCTTTGGGGGGTTATGGCTCAAACCGTTTAGGAATTAGGGGCAATAAAGGGGGAAAAACAAGGTTGTCCTGGTTAATGGACAAATACTTCAGTACAAAACATAATTTAAAGCAGTGTAAGGGAGATAAATCAAATACATCATTGAAATTACCTCCCTTACACTGCTTTTAAATTATGTATTAAGTAATGGTTAATGAACAATTAAGATAATTTAAAACAGTGTAAGGGAGGTAATCCAAATACAACGTTTTGGTTACTTCCCTTACACTGCTTTTAAATTATGTTTAAAGAAATGCATATTTATAAAGGAAGACTAGTAAAAATATCTGCAAATGTTGCATCTTTTTTTTTTACAAAAAAATCCATATGAAAGATTTGACACTATATTTTAAATTCTATTATAAAATAGATTAAGTTAGCACTATGGTAAATTTAAATGGGTAATTATGGTTGCCAACTCCATTGGAAATTTGAATTGAGATTATGACCATATCTTGAGGGAAAGAATTTTTTGGGGGAAAAAAGGGGGGGGGGGATAAAAAGAAATTGTGGGGGGTCAATTTTTTCTCATTTCAGATTTCAGAAATTAAAAAGAATTATTCTTCAAATATTATTTTTTTTTCAAATTTCAAATATTGAAAAATTTCAAGAAGTAATCTTTAATTGCACAGTATGGCGCATTAGATTTGTAAAATCTTTGATCACATTTAATTATTTGTTATGCCGAATCTAACAGTGTATTTAGATTTTAAATTTTGGGTCCAGTTTTCAAATTGGTCTACATTAAGGTCCAAAGGGTCCAAAATTAAACTTTGTTTGATTTTAGCAAAAATTGAAAATATGAGGTTCTTTGATATGCTGAATCTAAACATGTATTTTGATTTTGGACATTGGACCATAATAGGTAAATTAAAAAAATTCAAGTTCTTAGACCACATTCTTTCTGTGTCAGAAACCTATGCTGTGTCAAATATTTAATAACAATCCAAATTCTTAGCTGTATCAAGCTTGAATGTTGTGTCCATACTTGCCCCAACTGTTCAGGGATCGACCTCTGCGGTCGTATCAAGCTGCGCCCCAGCGAAGCATTTTATTTAAATTTTTTCCCTGTTATCTTGAAAATTATAATCGACAGACAGAAACTTTAAAGACAATATCTAAAAATAACTCAAGAAGACCAGACTCCTTATTAGAGTTATTGCCCTTAAATGACAATTTGTATCAAATTTTTGCGATTTTGCATAATATCTTGAAAACTGTAATAGATAGATAGAAACTTTAAATAGCACAAATAATCAGCAAAAGAAGATGTACAAATAAGTCGTCATGGTCGAAATCTTCAGTTGACTTGTTCTTGGAGTTATTTACCTTTAATAATAATTTTTCCATCGTTTTGCATTTTTTGCATATTATCTTGATAACTGTAATAGATAGAAAGAAGCTTAAGAAAGGAAAAATTGTCAGCAGGATTAAATCTACAAATATGTCAACATGACTGAAATTGTCAGTTAACTCTTAATAGAGTTGTTCCCATTTAATGATGATTTTACTAAAAAGTGGCCATAGTCTAAGATGCAGGTGAGCGACTCCGGCTCTTTAGGGCCTCTAGTTTTGTCTTTTAAATATATTTTCCAAAAATGCAGGTTTTCAAAATGGCAAAAGTGCCGGACTAAAATTGAGGTTTAAATAGTATTAAAATAAAAACTGAGGGAAGTTCATTGATAATTCTTCATGAAAGATACTAATTATGCTACGAAGTTTCCCTTCAAAATGTTTTACCAGCTATACATGTACATGCATTTGGTTCTATTATAAATGTAAGATATTTAATGTTTATTAGGATATCCACTTAGAATTTTTATGCCCCACCTATGTTATTATGTTTTTCGGTTTGTGCATCCGTCCGTTTGTCTGTCTGTCCCACTTCAGGTTAGAGTTTTTTTCAAGGTAGTTTTTGATGAAGTTGAAGTCCAATCAACTTGAAACTTATAACACATTTTCCCTATGATATGATCTTTCTAATTTTAATTTTGACCCCAATTTCACGGTCCACTAAACATAAAAAATGATAGTGCGAGTGGGGCATCCGTGTACTATGGACACATTCTTGTTTTCCTATGAAATACATGATTTCAAATACCTGACAATAGAATTACATGAAGATAGATAAAGTTATATGTGTTACACAAGTAGATAACTATGTTGTAGTCCATTTATTTAGACAAATGATGTGTAGCAGAATGTGTGCGTTTTATAGGGTGTGTGTGATGGAGCAGCAGCATTAGTATTAGCCAATGAACAAGCAATCAAAGACCACAATCTTAAACCTCTAGCAAGACTAGCAGCTTATGGTATTGCAGGTAATATACGTGTATACAGTTATCTAATAACAAACTGGACAAAATTAGATTTCTACAATAGCATAATTATTGTGTTAATTTCCCTATTATAGACAAGCTGGTTGGTTTGAAAAAAAAGAGTACTGTAAATTCAGAAATTATTGAGTGCATTCATTATTGTAATATTTGAATAATGGACAAAAATGTGATATCAATTATTGCCATATCTGAAAAATTTGCATACAGATATATGTATAAGACATCAGAAGGGAGTTCTTATTGTTGTAATACTCAACCTAGTCGCATTATTCGCATTAATAAAAACTTCGCTATAATTTCTGAATTTACAGTATTTGCTGATTTTTCTGTAAGTAAATAATATAAAAATGTATCAATCCAAACGGCTGGGCTGCTCAGAATGTTTCTTAAACAATGGAAAATGGTCTATAATAAACATTATAATATATAGAAATATAAAATGAGAACAAAAATCTTTTAACAACTTCAATAGGTGTGTAAACTTTCTGTGAAGTATCAAGAATCTGGGTTGAAACTGCAGGAGGAGTTGATTACACAAAATTGGTAGCGTCTTTTGTAAATTTTGCTGAAAAATTACTTATAGTTCCCAAGTTTTGCAAAATGGGAAAATATTCCTCAAACAATTTCATAAAGGGAGGGCACAATTTCAAATATATTCGCTATTTTTATGCCTCACTTACAATAGTAGAGGGCCATTATGTTTTTCAGTCTGTGGGTCTGTTTGTTCGTTCGTCCGTTCGTCCCGCTTCAGGTTAAAGTTTTTTGTCACGGTAGTTTTTGATGAAGTTGAAGTCCAATCAACTTGAAACTTAGTATACATGTTCCCTATGATATGATCTTCCTAATTTTAATGCCAAGTTAGAGTTTTGACCCCAATTTCATAGTCCACTGAACATAGAAATTGATAGTGCGAGTGGGGCATCCGTGTACTATGGACACATTCTTGTTATGTGATGTTTCAATGATCTGGTTTGAAAACTGTAGAAGAGTTGATTACATAAAATTGAAAACATCTGTAATTTTTGCTGAAAATAAAATTCGAAAGTCTGGCAAAGAAAAATAACACTTTTTAAATTGTGTGTGTCCAAAACCCTTTTCTGGATTCACCTTCATGACAAACTCAAACCTAAACATTTGAAAGCCAAGGGTGTATAGATACTTACAGACATGGTCTATATGGCCCTGAAGTACTGACTACTGAGCTGATGATACCACCTGGTACTAAAAATACACCAGTATCTACCCAGTGCTAGTAAATGAAAATAATTATTTATAAATTTTGTGCATCAAGTCACTGTTCTTGGTATACCTTTAGAAGGTACACTTAAACCTAAACATTTGAAAGCCAGAAGGGAAAATATTCTTAAGATAATTTCATTATAGCAGGGCTTGTTTTTAATATTCATGCCATCTTTCTGTGAAGTTTAGGGGATCTGGGTTGAAAACTAGAAGTTGATAAAAAAATAAATTAATGAGATTTGGAGTGAAAAAAAATTAAGAAATCAATACAGGTGGGGCTGAAAAAGTCATATCATGTGATATGTTTCTAGACATTTGCCTAGTCTTTCCATTTTTATACAACCGCAAAAAAATTTTGGGGTTGTATATTGCTATCACGTCGTCATCGTCCGAAGACATTTGATTTCCGGACAATATATTTAGTTTAAGTGTAACGATCTCTATGAAATTTAACCAAAAGGTTCAATACCACAAAAGGAAGGTTGGGATTATTTTTGGGGGTGATGGTCCCAACCGTTAAGGAATTAGGGGCCATTTTTTTTCCCTCAAGATTTAAGAAATTGTCGATTTTCCAAAGAAAAAATTTGGGGTCACAATTTATTTTGCTAATTCTTTTTATATAGTCTGAAAACAGATTTACTAAGTATTGCGCAACAGTACAGTGTATTGCACAACAGCAAGAAATCTTCAATTGAATATAAATTCAAATCATATAACCAATTTCAAGTTCTTTGACTACATTTATTCTGTGTCAGAAACCTATAATGTGTCAAATATTTAATTACAATCCAAATTCAGACCTGTATCAAGCTTGAATATTGTGTCCATTTTTGCTCCAACTGTTCAGGGTTGGACCTCTGCTGTTGTATCCAGCTGCACTCGGCGAAGCAGTTTATTATCAAATTTCCATTACAATATCCAACCACTTTTCTATTCTTACACCTCATCTTGCTTTAAACCTATGGTTGGATAACATTACCTGAATTTTGATATTTTATGCAGAGGATGTATTGATGTATACCTTGTCTATCTTTCTAGCATAGTCAAGTAACTGTTGTGTGAAAAATTTGTTCAAATCCAGATAAATAGATCAAAAGTACAAGATTTTCCTATTTCTTTATACATGTATTGCCAAATTAAACATGATAGAAGGCGTAGTAAATTAGTTAAGATTATTGTTGTTTTAGGTTGTGATCCCAAGATAATGGGTATAGGCCCAGCACCTGCATCAAGAGCAGCTCTTAAAGCAATTGGTAAAGATGTAAAAGATATGGAAATAGTTGATGTAAGTCAGTCTGTTCAAGTTTTGTATTGATATTCAGAGCTTATTTTGGGGTTCATTAAAGGAAAGACAGGTTAAGGGTGTGGTCAATTAATCATTGAACTAAGTTTTTTTACATAGATCTAATATATGAAAGGTCTTCCAACATTAAAGAGGAAAACTTTTTATCTTGTTCACACAGATATTATTATATTGTTCATACTGTTAATTGAGTAATTTCTATAAAGCTTTACAAATAGATTTTGGCGGAACTGAAATAGACTAAGATAAACTAGAAACTCTCATTTTTAAAGAAATCATGCTTTTATTGCTCTTTTCCTCTTTAGAATGGCTTCATCACTGGTCCATAATGCAAAATTAAGTTCAATGTGCACACATTTTGTAATGTTAACATCTGACATGCTTGGAAAATATTACATAAAAAAAATTACATTTCAAAAAGTATATTTGACGATATAGACTTCTTTTTTACAGGTTAATGAAGCCTTTGCACCACAATTTCTAGCTGTTGCTAAAGAATTAGGTCTTAATAATGACATTACCAATATGGCAGGAGGGGCGATAGCATTAGGTCATCCACTGGCTGCATCAGGTGCTAGAATTACAGGTCATTTAGTCCATGAATTACAGTAAGTTTTACAAAAAATCTCATGTAGTGTCTGAATTTCTGTTAATGTCTGAGACGGTTTGATGAAAATGTGTGCCTTTTCTGTTTGCAATTATGTGTCACATGTGACAAAGTTATAGAAGCTGGATTGATAGTTAAAGGGACATAAAGAATGGGTTTCAAAAATAAGAAATTGGATGGACATAAAACTGTTATCAATTGAAGACACACTTTAAATTCAGAAAAAAATAATTTTGTCTACATTTCTTTAACAATCCATTCAAACCATTCAAATGCCTAATTCTAATGCAGTTAATTTGTAATCACTGTTTTGATTTGTAAACATCATATATCTGAGGAGTTAATCAGTCTGAAACTAAGAAAAGCAGTTAGAATTATCTATTTGTGGTCTGTATATAATCAGCCATTAAGACTAATGTAAAATGCTTCTTAAAGTGAGAATGAATAGGATTTTATTAAAATCTGCCACTCGATTATAAACATTAGAAACTAGCATGGGAATGTGTAGTAAAAAGCATAACCATTAATTTAAAGATCAGAAGTATGTTCCATGTCTTGTCAACAAGCTAAGTCAAGCTTTGTCCTACTTAATATATATGATCACTACAGATGTTATGATGTTTACAGACTGCAAGGTAATAGGTTAAAAATCATGTTCTGTACAACCAATGTTTTAATCAGGTATTCTACAATTGTTGACAAAACTTGTTTATTTTTCAGTCGACAGAACAAAAGCATAGCCATGGGTTCAGCATGTATAGGTGGAGGACAGGGAATGACAGTAATCGTAGAGAAATGTTAACCAATCAAAAACTCTGATTTCTTCATGTGATCAATTATCTATTTATACTAACTGATGTAATATTTATTCAAATATGTGATGGACCAATTTTTTTATTTGATGAAATCAAGAAAAGTGCAGCTATTTTATTCATATGTGATACATACCGTTTACAACATCAGGGACTCGATACATTTGGAAAAAACATATCTGCATGTAAACTTTCACATGGAGAATTCACACACACAAGGTGGAATTATGTACGCTCAAATAAAATAGCATTTCATGTGATCAATTATTATTAATTTAAATCCTTCGCATTTTTTCAAAACTGTGGGCAGTTTTGGTGCAGAGAAGAATACTATGCATTTGTAAATATGCAAATAAATAGTTATAACCAGTTGTTAAATTTCATGTTATTTTTGCCCAATCAGCTATTGCTTAAATTCAAAACGAGTACGATCAAAGGAAACAGTTTATGATTTCTTCATAATAAATGGATATTTTACCCCTTGTAAAAATTACCTAAACCAAAAACTGTAACCTGATACAAGATGAAGAAAAGGACCAGCTAATGGATGGTTGTATGCAAAGACAGGAAAACAGTACAAAAAAGATTTCACACTTTTTATATTCAAAATTAATTTATAACATTTAGCAGCAATACAATTTGAGTACCTTATTAAAGATATCAGAAATGTGTAGGTCAATGTACAGTCTCCAACAATAGGCAAGTGTATTTGTAATTTGCCAAGCTATTAATCTCCCAAAATTGTTTACATGTTGGCTGAGTTTGATAAACAGTCGTGCAGTCATCATTATTGATGGAGTTTGTGTTCATTTCATTAACATACTGAGAATTCATTATTGTCATTTTTTGGGGGATGCCAATTTTCGTCGGTTGTGGGTATAGGTGAACCACAAATTTAAAAGTTCCAGCCAAGTACAAATTTTCTATAGGTCCTCAGGTTGAGGATCTTCAACTTCAGAGTTAAATCAATATCCATTCAGCCCGTTATGATTTGCACCTTCAAACACATGGACAGACAGGATACCCAACTCAACTTTATTATTGAATATGGTTGATTCATTTGTTTAAGTGGGTTACAAATTTTCGTTGACTGGAAAAATTATATTTACATTATTATTAGATTTCTTGGTTTTGCCTAGGTCTGCATACAAGGAAGTGTAAAGGAATTTAAGCTTGATCTTTCATTAAAGGGGAGATAATCAAACATACATCATACTTCAATATTTCTTTATTTGGTTATAGTCTATTTAGTGCAACTCCTCCTAAAAGGCTACACGGATATTGATCTAACTTTACACAACTGAAAAAATTTCCTTCCTGTTGATACATGGTAAAGGGGAGATAACCGATTTAACCTTCTTCAAAATGCAATATTTGGTAATGGACTCTCATACGCTAAACTCTTCCTAAACAACTAGAAAGATACTGATGAAACTTTACACTACTTACAAAACATAGATATGTACATATAGTAATATGCAACTGTTTCTATATGTTAAAGGGGAGATAATAAAATTTACTTATTTCAATATTGTAATATGTGGCAATGCCATAATGGTTTCTGGTATGTTTAAAGATTTCAAAGACAGGAAAATTAAATATGATTTTATTTTCAATAAATCATGCCTTTAGAATTATTTGTTTCATGGTGTTTAATGCCTCTTTCAGTCATTTGTTTATTTTCATGGCAATCGGTTTAATTGGGCAAGGAATCCACAGTTACAAGGTTTACTCACAAACTATCACCAGTAGATGAAGTCTTCCTAGCCATTTTTGCTCCATTACCAGAGTTTTTTTTTCCTAAATGAACAAATTTGGTGCACTGATCTGTTAAGGCAGAAGAAAAACCCACTAGGGCAACAAAAAGATGTAACGTACCAAAGCATGCATGCAACACTATTTACTTAAAACTGCACCAACTGCTGATAGTTATGTTTTTATTTTAAGTATAGATGTAAATATCCACAAGCTACTGATGGCAATAGATTGATGATTGTTGTTTGCTTAACTTCCAGTGTCAAATATTTCATGCATATTACAAGTCAGAACAAGAATCATGAGAAAAAATTAATTAATCTGATAGGTTGGGACAAATGGGATGAAGTGCAGGTAATTTAGACTACCACTGAATTTCCTTTCATCAGGCCTTCTACAGATCCCCTCAGATTTGTTACAAGGGTCCTTTAACGTCACACTTTCCCTACATGAGTAATAGAGTCAGTTATTCAACAAGGACATATACATACAGGCAAACTACCAATCAAAACAGACTTGGACAGTAAACCAAAACTCTCAGTATAAAAATATTTATTATGAAAAAGATGGTTTGATACAAATGATTACATAATTTACATTTATTACACTCTGGAATGCTTGAAGTATGTATTGCCTTCCAATCACCTTAACTGAATAAAATTAACCATTCACTCATGGAATGAAAAAGCTAAATGTTTTCTGTCAAATATTTTGAAAATTTGTGTTTTTTAACAAATATTTTACTAAAGAAGTCTTATTAGTATTAGGGTGGTTGCTCTTTTTTAGCCCTTTATTTTTTTTTAAACAAGAAAATGTCAAACGGATGTTGTGTTCTGCTCATACAATGTCTCCTTTTTCATAGATTTGTGGTCTAAACACTTATATGGGATATAATTAAAAAATTTCGAATTTTTCATGTTTTGAAATGAACATGTGTACCATGTTTAGAGTTGATGTGACAACAACTTCATGGTCAACTACTTCAACCAAAAACTTTAACTTGATACAAGACGAAGGGGAAAACATAATACCCCATCCCCCTGCTATCATAGGCATACAAAATGTAAAAATGACCAAACATTGCATAGGTAATTATATCAAGCATCAAACTATTGGGATTTCTTGCCCAAATTTTGAAACTTTTACCTCAAAATGGTTAATGATATTTCTTGAAATCAATAGTTTTTGAATATGCAGTCATAGGAACCGATAGTTGAGTATATACAATGAAAAATACATTTAATGATTGCTGATACAGTGCTAGAAAATAAATCTATATTTAATTCAAAATATATACAAATTTACAATAATGATATACAATTCTTCATATTAAGCAAAAATATCAAGATTAAAATTTAAAATGCATAAAGTGAACTTTATCACAGAATTTCAAGAAAAGGTGAATTGAAGAATATGGCACAATAACTAGAAAAGGTCAAAATGTTCAAAATTAGAATAAAACATTTGAATTTATTTGTTTTTTCACTGGTTGTTAATTTCCAAGTTTAATTTCTGCTTTTAAAGATCAAATCAAATGATTATATACTGAACTTTTTAATTGATCAGATAAGGTCAGAATCTTAATTTTACAGAAAAGATGAAAGGTGCATCTGTAAAAGCTGAATAAAAATTCCACTTTATATATGTGAACTAAAAATATTATAGTACATTTTAATATATTTGGTTTTATTTTTTTGCACAGTTTTATTTATCAGCACTTTAAATCAGAGTTGATTTTCCTGATATAATTATGTATAAAGATAAAGTTGTGACATGGTATCATGACATCCATTCTATAGTTTACAGCAGTCTTTTAAAGATAAATGTTAGTGCCAAGCACAAGATCGTCATTGGTAAGGCTTTCTGTGTCATTCTATTTGCTGAGTTACATCCATTCCAATCATTACAGAAACAATATTTTATCTTAGGGTTTGTAAGAGATCCTGGATTCCAAAAATCGTTGTTTCTTGCTGGTAAACAGTAACCATGACGACGCAAGTTTGGCATCCTCAGTCTGTGTCTTGTTGATTTCATCAATACATTTTCACATTCTCTTGTAATATAAGTTTCACCTTAAAAAAATGTTATATATTAGCTAGTCCTTTTTAAGTACTAAAGTGTCAAGTGTATACCATATTACCCATACCTAAACTGTTTCAGTACTCGACATACTTCATCATTAAATTTTATAACAAAAAATGTTTTATTCAGTGCAAGTATCAAGGAAATTAAATGTTTTTTAGATCAACCCTATGACTTATCCACCTTTTTTTTTATGAAAACAAATAATTGCTGAGACCTCAACTGGTACATGTATCTTCTTTCTACTTTCAATTTCTAGCTAGAGCTCTGTAGAGTATTTCTGAGTATTTTAACTGTTTTCTCATATTGAAATTCAACTATACAAATGTGTTTGGCATAGCGAAACTTTTTCCCTCAGGGTTATCACTAGAAAATTTTTAGGGTGAATCACAGGACTCATCACTTTTAGAAATGGTGAGTCCCACCTGATTTTGATGAGTCCATAGTACACTCAAAAAGTTATAATCTGAGTTTTTTATAAAGAGGGATCTTTCATAAATTGGGTTTATTCAGGACATATTAATATACAAACTCTTTGTGCACCTCCCATTCCAATTTTTGTCTCGCCTGCGACAAAAGGCGCGGAAAGCAAGACATAAGGACTGCTTTTCCGTCAACGACGGTGGACAGCTTCAACAATTGTTAAGTTTTCTGCTAGTTTGATAGAAACTACTTGTGATAGATCATTGATATTTAATATAAAGTTGCATTACTATCAGTACATATCAGTTTAACGACTATTTTGAGGCCCTGCCCCCTATGTCATGGTCCAGTGACTTTGAATTAATTAGCAATTTTCAATGTTAAGTTTTTTGCTTAAGTTAGATTGATAGGAACTACTTGCAACAATATTTTGTATAAAGTTACATTACTGTCTGTACATCTCAGTTTGTCAACCATTTTCAGGCCCTGCTCACTAGATCATGGTCCAGCGACTTAATTAATAAGCAATGTTGCTGTCCATCAGATTGTCTTTTTTTTTATTTTATGCCCACAGGCGAGACATATCTCTGTGTCAACAGTTTATTTTATATTTTTTCTTTTTCCCTACTTTCTAAATATGTGCAGTTGAAGAACATGGATCAAATCTATCTTTATGTTATCCACAGTATACATTTGTACACCTTCTCTTTATCCTTTTGACCACATTAACCAAAGTCAAACAGTAAGTTAAAGTATAATAGATTCAGTGTTCTCCCCAGATATTTCATATTGCATCCTGGAAAACACTGAAATTTGAAATACATGAACCATCTTGTTTCTAAAAATTATAGCATCACATCCATAACACAAGTCAATCTATAGAAGAAAATCAATTCAGATTGATAGCATCACATTACCATGATGCTAAAAGGCCCTGGAGAGAACACTGAGATTCCTGAAATACTTACTGCCAACTTGCTCTGTGATTTTGACACAAAATTGTGAATCACCACAGTCTTTCCATGGGAACATCCACCACACTAAATCATCTCCACAGCCACCCATGGCACTGAAACAACGGTGGCACATAATGGCTGAGCCTAAAATATCAA